GAAAAGGGAGAAGAGGCTTTAAGGATCATGTAGCTAAATACAAATACTGTAAATTCATCCTCCAATCAGTAAAACGTGAGCTCAAGAACCAATGCATTGACAATATAATGATGTGTGCAGAAAAAGCAGAAAAGGTGGCTTCTTACAACACTTTCATGCATCACTGAGCTTCTGGTTCTCCAGTGTTTGATGCTCATGGTCAGATATTTGGGATTCACACAGGAGGATATGGTATGAGCGACCGCGTTATTGAGTACGCCCATCCTCTGCTCACTATATTTGAAAAGTTTGTGATTAATCTGAAGGAAAGTGGAAATGATCAGATGTTGGAGAAGGTTAAGGAGGCAGCGACCGAGAAGAAACACCTTAAAAAGATCCTCCAGGTTGAACCGATGGAGGAAGATCAGGCCAACTAGAAATGATACAGTTTGCAGATTTGAAGTTAAAATTATTTTTGATCTGCATATGTCACTGACTCAAGGTTGAGAAATTTAATTATTTTAGTTGTATTATTTCATACTTAAAGCCTTGACTGCAAATAGTAATTTGGATGACAGATCTCTTAAATCAGAAGGACGTGCTTTAAATTAGTTAATGTCATATAATTGTCCCCAGAACAAAAAGTAAATTAGCCCATATTAAACATTGGACATGTTCTTCCACAGACAACCTGATTTCTTCAGTAATTCATTTAAAAACTATATTTCTAAGCCTTGTTTAAAGAATAACGAATCACAATGACGTGTTGCAACATGCTGAGTCTCAGTAACTGTGTTTTTGTAGGAAGGCCTGTCACAATAACAAATAATGCCGAATGATAAATTGCTCCAGTAATTATTGAAATAAATAATAATATTGTTGTTTTGAGATAATTTTAAGTAATATATTGAAAATGGAATAGTAATGCAACGTCACATAAACTAATAAACTTTAATTTTTTAGAGAACACTTAACACTGAAACTGGAAAAAAATGTTTAAATATATCAAATAAATAATATAAACAAAAATATAAATAAATACAATGAAAACCACACAAATAAAAAGGGTTTATGAAGTTTCTGTAATTAAAATATTCCTTCAACAAATGTTAATGATTAGAATGTAAATGACCAAACTCATTTTAACGATATTATGCTTTTAATTGCTAATTATTATTTGACAGGGTTGTTTGTAGGTGAGTTTCTTGAATATTACCAACAGTTTTTCAGTCCCATTTAGTGCAGCTACCACATCCTCACTTATTCTCAGTGCTGGAACATATGCAAATAAAAACTGACATTTACAAAATGGGCGGAGTGGAGGTCAAAGGGCACAAAGGTGTGTAAGCATGAGCTCCACCCACTTCCTGGATCACGCAGAGCTCACAAGGGAAGCTGAGGTAAAACACATTTCTTGACTTTGATAGAAAAGTTTTTATGAATTCTCTTCTTTGTGGTGATCAGAATAGAGCAAGCTGTAGATCAGCGGTGCCCAAAGTGGGTCCTCGAGGGCCCACTTTGGGCTCTCCTGCTGTAAAATACATGTCTAGAAGAGATGATCTGAAGAAGTATTTAAATGTGTTATCAGTTAATTGTATTGTGCTAGCTAATTCAATTTTTTGTTTTGGTACATTTTGGTTTTCTTTTCAACTTTTTGTGCCAGATATTAATTAATAATCTTCTTCCTGGATGTTTGACTTGAGGAAGCAGAACATTTTGTACAAAAAAATGAAAAACTAGCAACAAGTTTCACATAAAATCTATAGTTTTGGGTGTCAGTAGGTCATGATTTGGTACAAAAATATATTTTTTATCTGTTGCCAGAGGCTGTATGAGAACATAGGTCCCTTTTACATTTTTTTTCCTCAAAGAATTGAGATTAATTATTTTTTTAATCCCTTCCCACCTATGAGAACATTGGTGGGAAATGCACATATTTACAGTGATCAACATCTTCATGTTCTTGGAAAGGAAGTACTTTCATTGTACTTAATTGGTGCTTAAAAATCTAAGTTGATTTTTAGCATCAATTAACCTCAATGGAACAGATTATTTTCTTTGTTAAATTAATATTTAATGTGTGTTGCAGAAAGAGTTCAGTCTATTTGTTCACTAGAAGCCAAAAGTGAGTAATTTTCCCTCATGATGGTGATATAATGGCTCATATTTCAGCTAAACTCTTTATCAAAACTTTATCACTGTGTTGGCAGAAACAATGGCTCCCAAGAAGCAAAAGATGGAAGAAAACCAGCAAGATACAAGAGGCTTTTTCACAAAGCAAGATGTAAAAAAAATATATACATTTTTCACATTTAAAAATTTGAGCACATTTATATAAAATCATTTTTTACAATGTACCAAACCCATGTTGCTTATTTTGTTTCCTTCTTCACAGATGAGTCCAATAAAAGTGAAGAAAGAAAAAATGGAAGAAGATGAAAGTTCAATTATTTGTGTTTTTGTCCTTTGCAGCTTGGCAGTCACATGATTGTTGCATGAGAATGCCGAGGCACATAATTACATGTGACTTGGTGTGACTTGGTTGGATGTGCGTAACTTTTAGTAAACATCACAACCTTCTTTACAAGACATTGTTTTGATCCTAACAATAATTTTGCAGGATGTTCCTGGTTGTTCCAGCAGCAGCCCAAGGAAAAGACCTGAAGTTTCAGAGGTGAGCTGCAGGCTCATGATTTAACTGTTACTCTAAACTTTATAATTATAAAACATATCTCATGACATTTAGTCTGGATGTCCAGGTGCTGCCTTCAGTCACAGAATGCCATCACTCCTGTTTGTTCTGTTTAACTGTAATGTTTCATGAAAAATGGAGATTAATTATGAACCTTTTATAGAAATGCATTTAGTATAAACATGTATAATGTATCTGGACCATGTGGCTTATTTTGCTTCCATCTTTACAGATGAATTCAACTAAGGTGAAGAAAGAAAGGAAGGAAGATGATGAAACTTCAACGGTTTGTATTTTTGTAATTTCCTTTAAGGTGTTTGCATCGTTTTGCTACATTAGCCTACTATTATTATTTTGTTTTCTTACTTTAATTACTAATTTTATTAACAGGATGACCATCTTCATCGCTTCGGCGTCAAATTTGGTTCGGATCCCCAGAAATACACCACTGACTGTGAAAAACCATGCACTGTACTTGAGGTGATAAAATCAAAGCATTTCACAAATTATCAAAAAGAAATAGAGAAACCAGGGGAGAAAAAGAGGTTAGAAGAAAATGTCATCATAAAGGTGGGTGAAGGGAACGATTCCTACATTGTTGCAACACATTTCCCTTGTTCTTGTTTACCACCCAAAATGTGTCTGACAATATCTACATCAAATAATGTCATAGAGAAAAAGCAGCAACAGGTCAGAGTTCTCCCAAGAGAAAAATATTCTGTTTTCTTCATAGATAAAGAAGGAGGGAAGGACAGCAAATCCAAAACTGATATGATATTTAGATGTAAGAATATTCAGCAGCAGTTTAGGTATTTCTGTGTTTATGGGACAAAAGGGATGACAGTGGAGGAAGCTTTAAGACGGGATGGTCGCTTTCTTGATGGCCTCACAAACTTCACATTGTCTGATAACAGGACTGGAGACGTTACAAACTGTACAGAAATAGTTGACAACCTAGATGGGAGGAAATTCCAGATACGTCTTCCAAGGAAGGGGAAAACAAAAGCAACAAATCCATCACAAGTAGTTCAAGAGCAAGACTCGACACAACAGACCAGCCAGGAGGAGGAAAATGCTTCTGCATCACCCAAAGTACAGAACATTGAAGTTACAAAGGTTCTAGAGAATGCAGCAAAGAATGGTGTCAGTGTAAAGGCATCAATAGAAGAATTAAATATTCAAATTGACCTTAATGAGATCAATGACCTTCTGCGGAAGCAGTTCCCAAAACTGAAAGCATGGATGGAGAGTAGATTTCCTGGCCGTTCCTTTGAGAAAACCCTGAAACTGAAACGGGAGAACTTTGGAAAGATCCAGAATTCCTTTAGTGAAGTTCACACTGTGAGAGGGTTGCTGGACCTCAGCAAGTCCATTTGTCTTCTGATGATGGAGGAGAAGAATAATTCAGGTTTAACTGAGTTAAAGAAAACTGTGCATGTAGTCCGCACTCTCCAGTAGAAGTGCCAAGTCCTGGTTTGTGCTTGCTCCCGTTCAGTCCGTATAGTCTGTTGCTACCGGCGTTTAGCTGCGTGCTTGTTTCTGCCGTGGTGCCTTTCCTGGACTGTGTACCGAGCATCATCATTAAACTCTTCTCATTCATCTTACCTGGGTCTCGGCGTCGTCTCCTCACCACCAACCACACACCTCATGACATTCATACTGGAGGATTTACTTATGAGTTACTGAACATAAAAGACAGCGTTATTGAGTTCGCCCATCTTCTGCTCACTATATTTGAAAAGTTTGATTCAATGCTAAAGTTAAGGAGGCAGTAACCGAGAACAAGGTAGATTAGCCCAACTAGAAATGCTATGGTTGCATAGTTCAAGGTTAAAATGATTTGGAGCTATATGTAACTTTCTCAAGATTGAGAAATGTAATTATTTCAGCTGAATTACTTTATACTTTTAGAACAGTGGACATGAGTTTATGTTCTTCCACAGACAACCTGTTTTCTTCAGTAATTCATTTAAAAACTAGATTTCTAAGCCTTGTTTAAAGAATAACGTATCACGATGACGTGTTGCAACATGCTGAGTCTTAATAATTTAATTTTTGTAGGAAGGCCTGTCACAAAAACACATTTTGCTGGATGATAAATGGTTCCAGAAATTATTGTGATAAATTATAACATTGTTGTTTTGAGATAATTTTAACGTAATATATTGAAAATTTAATGGTAATGTAAGGTCACATCTCAAACACTAATAAACTTTAATTTTGCAGAGAACTCTTAACACTGAAACTGGAAAATATTTTAAATATCAAAAATAAATAAGTACAATAAAAGCTGCACAAAACCATAAATAAAATGATTTGGGAAATATCTGTAAATATAATATTCAACAAATGTTAATGATCATCATGTAAATGATCAAACTCATTTTAACTTATTATGCTTTTAATTGCCTATTGTTATGTGATAAAGTTTTGTGTAGGTGAGTTTCTTGAACAGCTTTTTTAGTCACATTTAGTGCAGCTACCACACCCTCACTTATTCTCAGTGCTGGAAAATATGCAAATAAAAACTCATATTTACTAAACAGGCTGGGAGGAAGACAAAGGGTAGAAAGCTGTGTAAGCATGAGTACCACCCACTTCCTGGATCGTGCAGAGCTCATCAAGGGAAGCTGAGGTAAGACACATTTCTTGACTTTCATAGAAAAGTTTTTATGAATTCTCTTGTTTGTGGTGATCAGAATAGAGCTTAATGTAAAATAAATGTCTTTAGAAGAGATGGCCTGAAACAGTATTTAAATATGTTATATTGAGGAATTAAAAGGTGCCAAACTCATGAAATAAGAAACGGTACACAAACCCCATTCTCTCCGGCTCACAGACAACCAGGAAGACATTTAATGCACATCTGCGGATTCACACATTACATTTTCATCGTCTCAGAATCCAAAATGTCTTGTCTTTTACTTCTGACATCAAGTTTTTATACAGTTCCAGCTCTACTGTTGTGTATTGGGAATCTTTGACCAATGGCATTACTGGAGCTCGCTTGCGTAGCACTTCTGGCTCCGTTTTACACTGGATGTGTGTTGGAAGTTCAGAGAATTAGCGGTTGATCTCCTGGAAATGAAATCTGCTCCATCAGAAGAACTATTAGTGAAGTTGTTGGGTTCTTATCTGTCCAATACAGATTCGTTCCCAGTCCTGGCCGACTTCCTCGCACACAAGCAGGAAAAGACGTTTTCCAGAAGTTTCCTGCACAACAACTTAACCTTTCCCTCTTTGGTGATTGGTTATTCCACATCTCTCCATTCTGAGTTCCTTTCTGACTTCTAGGTCAGTTTGACCCAGCACATTTGACACAGTACATTTCTTTTCAGTCAAAACATATCTTAATGTGAATCAACCAACAACATGCCTTTTAGTATAATTATATTCTTCTACAGTTATCAGTTATTTGTCTTGAATTCTAAAATTAATATAAAAAGCCACTTAAGATTTTTGTTTTGGTACATTTTGGTTTTCTTTTCAACTTTTTGTGCCAGATATTAATTAATAATCTTCTTTCTGGATGTTTGGCTTGAGGAAGCAGAACATTTTGTACAAAAAAACTGAAAAGCTAGCAACAAGTTTCACATAAAATCTATAGTTTTGAGTGTCAGTAGGTTATTATTTGGTACAAAAATATATTTTGTATCTGTTACTCAATAAGTAATTGACAATTGTTACTCTAAATTATTTATCTAAACTAAAGAAATTAGATAAAAAAATAAAATAAAAATTTTGCTTTGATATTTTTCTAAACTCAAATTTGCTCAAAGCTAAAACAATATATGACATATGTTAGAAAACACCAAAAGATTTACAGTCATGATTTGTTAAAGTGAAGCAAAGTGGAACATTTTTTCCAGATTTCCTGCCTATGAGAAAATTGGCGGGAACTGCACATTTTCAGTGTCTCACCTCCATTGTTTGCCTGCAGGAACTGGGTGTGAGCCGAATAAACTCTGCCTGGTGGGAACGTAAAAATATTTTCCCTTTATTAAATTTTCAGGTAGTGATTGTGAATTACTTCCTTTTTCTAAGTTTGACTGTAGCTCATCGTCTAATACTGCTGTTAATACGTCCTAGTTAATGATCTATAATTTTTTTAAGAAAGCAATTATTCATATGTTGCTTTATGTTATAAACGTAATTAGATTCCCAGATGAAATGGGCCACTGGTTGAAACTCAAAGATCTCAGCTGAAGCTTGAGATCAAATATGCTAGCTCCTAATTCAAGATCAACATCTTCATGTTCTTGTTAAGGAAGTACTTTCATTGTACTTGATAACTGAGAAACACTTTTGCAGGTTTTTAATTGATAAGGATCCATGTTTTCCATTTAAAAACTGGCATTTTAATAGGGGTGTGAATACTTTGTTTACTGGAAAATTGTTTTCCACTTGGCTTCACTTTAACAAATCATGACTGTAAATCTTTTGGTGTTTTGTACAATATGGCACATACTGTTTTATCTCTGAGCAAATTTGAGTTTAGAAAAATATCAAAGTAAAAAATTAAATCCTACCTTATTACTTTTACTTTCCACTTGTTGAATAAAATAAACAGGACAATTCATTTTACAACAGTTGGCAAAACATCAGGACAAAAGAAACAGTGGCAACTTTCACTTGGGTAAACCAGAAGTAAGATCATTATTATGTTTGTTTTCTGAGTGACATGCAGAGAAAGACTCAGGAGAGAAGAAATCAATAAAACTGGGTGTATCTATAAAGTGGAATAATGTGCAAACGTAGTGGTGGTCCAGGGTAGGTAGGCGACGTGGGGAACCGGACTTCTGGAGGAAATAATAAATTAGTGGAGCAGATGAAGGTAAGAGGAAATGTTGGACAAGGGTCTTACACAGGATGATAGTGAAGCCCACCAGGGAGGGGTGAGTGAGGTGTTGGTCTTGAGGTAGAAACTGTAAGATGGTAGGCAGAGGACTGGAAAGCCTGATGGAGGCTGCTGCAGGACTGTTGGAGTGCAGACAGGCGGTACAATGTTAATACTGGAGCTTAAAGTTACCAGTAAGAAAATCTGAGCTGAGGGTTATTGCTGGTTTTACTCTGACTATGTTTGAAAGGTCCCACAGACCCCAGGTGGTACTCAGAGAAACCTGAAGTGAGGGTAAACACAAGGAGTCACACTGGGTTGACTCCTTGTCAAAAAGCTACTCAGGAATTCACAAGAAGAGCTTGACGTTACCACATGGGTTAACACTCAGGCAAAGAGTGATTTGCAATCAGCTCTTTATATCCAGGGTATAATGAGTCTTGAGGAGTTGCAAGTGTACAGCCACACCTGTAGGGAATCAGCCCTCAGTCCTGCAACTGGCTCACCCTGAGGCCAGAGAAAACTACACCCCACTTTTCTGACAACTGTGTGTTTTAATCAAACATCTGGAATAATTTAAACTGAGAAAAATCTCTAGTTTATCTTATTTGATACTTAAAATTTTTAAAATAGTTTTTAGCCCCAAAGAGCTTGGTTATTTTTTTTATTAACATAATGTGTGTTGCAGAGTCAGTTCATAAACATTTTTTTCACTAGAAGATAAAGGTGAGTAATTTTCCCTGGTGGTAGAATAGCTCATATTTAAATTGACTGTCTCTTTATCACTTTATCCCTGTGACGGCAGAAACAATGGCTCCCAAGAAGCAAAGGATGGAAGAAAACCAGAAAGATATAAGAGGCTTTTTCACAAAGCCAGATGTAAGATCTGAGTTGATGACAATCTTCTTTACTCACTGATTATTGATCATTATGTTTCATTTATAGCGTGTGCAGGAATGTTAAATAACTGCATGGTTCTTATTTCCATCTACTTTGCAGGATGTTGCTGGTTGTTCCAGCAGCAGAGCCAGAAAAAGACCTGAAGTTTCAGAGGTGAGCTACAGGCTCATAACTGTTACTCTAAACTTTATAATTATAAAACATAACTCATGACATTTGGTCTGGATGTCCAGGTGCTGCCTTCAGTCACAGAATGCCATCACTCATGTTTGTTCTGTTTAACTGTAATGTGTCATAATCTTTCAACAGAGAAATGTTAATTAATCAGTGTTATTTTCGCAGATTCTTTATTGTTGAGAACTGTTAACAGATGAGAGTGACAGTGAGCGCCTCCGCTGATCAGCCGTTCCTGAGCTGAATCTCTGTTGGCTCGCTGAGTCAGGAGTGTTCACTGTTTTCTATATGCACACTGGTGGCGATCTGCTGTAACTGCAGCTTAATGGAGTCCAGCCTAGAAATCATTTCTATAGTCAACAGAAGGGATGGAGTGTAATTATTTCCAATGTCCATTCTGTCACAGAAATAAAGAGAGATGTTTTAAGAACCTTTTATATGAATACATTTCCCTCATATAAATGTGCTCAACATTTATATTAAATAAATATTTATCATGTATCAGGACCATGTGGCTTATTTTGTTTCCATCTTTACAGATGGATCCAACAAAGGTGAAGAAACAAAGGAAGGAAGATGCTGGAACTTCAGAGGTTTGTGTTTTTGTCATTTCCTTCATGGCATTTGCATCATTTCACTACGTTAATCTATTTTTATTCAGTTTTCTGACTTTAATTCTTTACTTTATTTACAGCTGGATGACCATAAGCATAAGTTCAGAGTCAAATTTGGTTCAGACAGTAGAGAATGCATGGTTTACTGTAAAAAACAAGGAACTGTTCTTCAGACAATAAAATCAGAGCGACCCAAAGAATATGACGAATTCATAAAGAAATTAGGGAAAAAGGAAATATCAGATGAAAATATGATAATTAGTTCGGGTGAAGGGAATGATTCCCACATTGTTGCAACACATTTTCCTTGTTTTTGTGTGAAGGAAGGAGAGTATCTGACAATAACCACATCAGCCAGAGTGGTTGAGAAACAGACAGAAGAGGCCAGAGCTTTCCTAACAGGAAAGTGTTTTGTTTTCTTCATCGACAAAGAAGGAGGAGAAAACACCAAAAGTAAAACACATCTCATTTTTAGATGCAACAGAATTCCTGTACAGTTTAGGTATTTCTGTGTTTATGGGGCAAAAGGGATGACAGTGGAGGAAGCTTTAAGACGGGACGGTCGCTTTGTTGATGGTCTCACACACTTCACATTGTCTGATAATGAGAATAAATTCACTACAAAGTGTACAGAAATAGTTGACAACCTAGATGGGAGGAAATTCCAGATATGTCTTCCAAAAACGGGGAAAACAAAAGCAACAAATCCACCACAAGTAGTTCAAGAGCAAGACTCGACACAACAGACCAGCCAGGAGGAGGAAAATGCTTCTGCATCACCCAAAGCACAGAACATTGAAGTTACAAAGGTTCTAGAGAATGCAGCAAAGAATGGTGTCAACTTAAAGATGGCAATAGAAAAATCAGAGAATCAAGTCGACCAGAAGGAGATCATTAAAATTCTGCGGGACCAGTTTCCAAGACTGAGAGAAATAATGGAGAGTAGATTCACTGATCGTTCCTATAAAACAACCCTGAAAAACCTGAAAGAGGAAAAGTTTGGAAAGGTCCAGCAGTCTTTCAGTGAAGCTCATAGACTTGAGAAGTTGCTGAAATTGGGCAAATCTGTCTGTAAAGTCCTTGTTAAGAGAAAGGACTTTATAGACGATCAGGGTTCTGATGTTTGTCAGGGAACAGGCTTTGTGCTGTTTGACCGGTTTGTCCTGACCAGCGCACACCTGTTTGACAAATGTGTCCAAGGAAAGAACCTGCTGGATCACATATACATCTCTGCTCGATTTCAATATGATGATCTTGACCCAGAGACAAATTACTTTTACTTCTATGCTGAAAAAACTTTTATTGACATTGACAATGAGCTGGATTTTGCTGTACTGGAGCTCAAAACTGAGGGTCAAAATTTCCTCCAAAACAAACCAGACAATGTAAAAGTACCAGCAGGGCTGCTGGACAGATTTGGTCCACTTCCTGGAAATGGAGAGGCCTGTCTTATTGGACACCCTGCAGGAAGTGTGAAGAAAATTGATCCTACATGCATCATTGAGCCAGAAAAGAGAGAAGAGGCTGTTAATGATCATTTAGCTCCTCATGAAACAACTTTGGTTACGATTATGTCAGTCATTGAAACAATTAAATCTCAAGGCATTGGGAGCATAATGGTTGGTGGAACTAAAGCTGATAAAGTGGAGACTTACAACACTTTCATGTATCATGGAGCTTCTGGCTCTCCAGTGTTTGGTGCTGATTGCAGAGTTTTTGGGATTCACACTGGAGGATTTACTTACGGGTTTCAAAGGCATGAAACGAGTGTTATTGAGTACGCCCATCCTCTGCTCACTATATTTGAAAAGTTTGTGATTAATCTGATAGAAAGTGGAAATGATCAGATGTTGGAGAAGGTTAAAGAGGCAGTGACCAAGAACAAAAACCTTAAAAAGATCCTGGATGATCTTTTTCTCCAGGATGAGCCGATGGAGGAAGATTAGGCCAACTAGAAATGATACAGTTCAGGTTAAACGTTTCTGACCAACATATTTAACTTTCTCAAGATTCAGAAATTTATTAGCCAGACCTGCTAAATTCCTGCAGTCACAGAAGACAGTGACTAGGCTGCCAGTCCGTTTCAGAAAAAACAACCATTTACACATCTTGGATAGATGTGGCTCCTATCCAAACCTGCATTATCAGAAAGAAACCTGAAAATATGTGGACAGACCATCCAGCTCCATGTAGAAAGGTCCAGTAAAGATTTGAGTCCATGACCTGGACAAAGTTATTAGGTATATTTTCTTACCTCCTGGTCCACTAACAGAGATTCTTCACAAGAAACAACAAATCAGTTAAAGATTATCTGCTCCTCCATCCGTAACTCAGTCTCTGAGGTGCCTATCTACGCCGGTCATTGGGTGAGAGGCGGGTACACCTTGGACAGGTCTCTGTCCACATTAGAGACCCCTGACCTCTTATTTGTTGCCTTTTGCACAGCAGATCGTTGGGTCTCTAACAGGTTCTTAAATTGGTTTAATTGGTCCTGAACAAAAAGAAAATTAACTCACTAAACAGCAGATATGAATTCATGATCTACAAACTTTCTGTTTTCCTCTTGTCATGCTGCTGCTGCCCAATAATTTCCCAGTTTCAATGTCAATAAAGTACATTATCTTCTGTTTTCCTTTGACTGCTGAAGGCCAAAGATTAAACCTGGATCTGTCTTTTCTCTGGCCAAACTGTGATGATTCTTTTAAATCTCATCCAGATTATTTTCTCAGTGGTAGAAATTACTTCATTTATTCCCAACCAGGTTGTATTTTTCTTCAGTGATTTAATGAAATGCAATCAGTTAAAATACATCTTCACTACTGATCATATATTTCTGATTGTACTATTTTGTTTTTCCATATTCAGATCATTTTAAACCGTCTGTAATTCATTCATTTTCATTTTCATTTTCATTATTACATGTTACTGTTCTGTCATTTAAATGTAATTTTCTCTTTTATTCAACAAATAAATATGAAACCTGTCAGTTTACCGACGGCTTCTAATCAAATGTCTCGTACTTTTAGTATAAATGTTAAATTTCCAAGTTTGGGTTGAAATACTTTGCTTTCATAATATAAAAAATAAAGAGTAATATGAACTATTCACTTTAATTTCAAGTAAAACAGTTGCTGTAAATCAACATAAGTTAAAACAAAATATAAAACAGACATTTATCCAGTTTATTCATTAAGTAAATATTAATCAAAATATTTAATCGTTGACAGAAAAAGACCATCGTAAAGATCTTAAGAAAGCTGAGTTGTATTAACAAAGTGATGTTTTTTTAGACGTTGAAGTGAATTAATAGAAATTGTATCTATCTTAAGGTGAATTACTTGAAGAAACAGCCCACCATGATTAAGTTCTGAGTTTATGACTCAGTTCATTTTACCACAAGTTTAATCATTTCTCTGCAAGACTTAAATGTCTGTCTGCCGTTCGCTGTGATCAAGTTCAAGGCCGTCATGAAACGTGAAAACATGAAGATTTTCAATCACAACATTAATATATGGCATGGCTACTAAATGAACAGAAAGCAGCTGGTGACATTTTAAGAAGAAAAGTGAGATGCATAAATGCAGAGCTGGGGTGTTTAATCCTAATTTTCCTATGGTTGAAGAGTGAAACCGTTAATTCCCAGCTGCACCTGAATGCAGCAAATTTCGCGCCATTTCTTCTTCCTTTACATCTGTCGACAGAGAGAGAGAGAGCGGAGCAGAATGCACCGCGGTTTTCTGCTGCACAACTAAAAGCATTTTAAACTATTTTATCCTCCGTTTGCCTCATTTAAAGACCGTCAGTGTTTCTTTTCTCTTCAGCTTTTAAGTTTTTCTGGTTTTTACTTTATTTCTTCACTTTTTACTGCATGATTCAACCCTGCAGAACAGCCGCAGTAAGTACAAGATGTTTATAACAGAATAATTACAGCTAAGCTATACGAGCTGATTACATGTAAGCGAAGTCAGATAAACTCATATTGTCAATAATTCATTGTTGGCTTGATTTTAAAGTTTTCTGGTTTTAACAGGAAAAGTTTAGAAGTTCCTCAGTATTTCAGAATTTTATTTCCTATTTGCAACTCATATGTTGCAACATTTGAGTTGCAACATACGAGTTGCACATGTTGTGTTAATGCCTGTGTGAAATCGTTTTTAAATAGGTGAATCAAAGTAAAGCTTATGGAGATTTACTGTGTTTCCGTGTGGGGGAGGGGCTGTCATGTCTTCCTGTTTCTCAAACATCTGAGGACCATTTGACTCATTTGGACCATCCAACTTGAAACTGTCCTGCACGACACATCATCTTAATATACACAGTATAAAATGAACACAGTCATTTAGTGATGTTTAATTTGTTCATCCCAAAGACGAAGGCAGAGCTGTTTGGTAAATGAATGGCTCAGATTATTTTACTGCAAGTTTAGTCACCTTAGCAAGACTTAAAGGTCTTAAATGTCTTAAATGTCTTAAATGACATTTAAGACCTTTAAGACTTAAATGTCTTGCAAGACATTGTCTCAAATTATTTACATAATCTGTAAATAAGTTACAGAGTCTGTGACTTATTTACAGATTCTGAAAGTGTGGATTGTAGGCCTTCATGTAAACCAAAAGAGAAGTTTAAAAAATAACATCAGCAGCTGACGTACAAGCAGAGAGTTAAGCAAAGTTGTAAAAAACAAAGAACAGTTCTCACTGACAGACTTGAGTCCTGCCGTTTATGGCATAAACCTTTCAAAATGCTAGTGGCTTCCTCCATGCTCCTGTTTAAAGCAGCTCTTTTAATTTTTTCTTTCCACCAGTTATCCATCATTATTGTTAAACAGTCTTTTGATGAGCCACCTGAACGTGTCACACTTTGAGCTGGACTCACGTGAAATAAACATTTACATGACTGCAGACCCCTGGGGGCCCGGGGACCACAGTGGAGAAAGACGGCGTTACATCAGCAGCAAATTCATCAAGAAAACAACAAAACTTCATCTTCTGAACTTTAATGTTGATCTTTATTGTTTTAGTTGCAAAGCGCCTCAACTTCTCAGCTGAAAGGGTTTAAAACCAGAAGTCAGGACATGGTGAGTCCTTCTCCACTAAAAACTGTTACTGGACTAACTTATATCTCAGTTTTTGAACTCTAATTTTATTATTGTGTTGGCAGATGAAGACACCAACGAAGAGAACGTGAACAGAAAACAAAATGGACAAGAAGACCGGCTGTGATAAAGAAAATGTTAGTAAGACTTTGGTCATTTCTTAACATTTGTCATATAAATATCTGCATCTTGTATAGGATCAATGAGCAGCTGCACATGTTAGTTATTATTTTATATTTTGTTCTGTTCATCAGATCGACCCTGGAAATGACTCCAGTCCACCCAGGAAAAGATGGAGGGCCTGTCCAGGTTTTCAGGTGAGCTGCAGGTTTAAAGATCTGTTTGACTCTATCTACATCAGTAAGACATGAACCTGTTCTGTTATGCTTGCACATGAAAACTGTAAATGCTACTAGCTTCCAGCAAGAGATAAATCTACCTCTGACTAACGGCACCAAAGACACATCAGTGGCAGGACCGGCCCAGGCCTCCATGGGGCCCTAAGTGAAATGTGGTTTTGGGGCCCTCTAGTTCTGCTAACATTGTGGACTGGCTGCAGTCAGCAGTCCGATCATTAGATCATTCACACACCTGCTGTAAACTTGTTGCATCTCTGGCTGTTTACATTATATACTATAGAATATATATGGCTAATTGATTTATGACCAGTTGATTTCTGGGCGCCGATGTCCTTCATTTTGGGGGATCGTGATCTGCTGATACTTACATGTGAAGCTGATCTTATCTTCATCAGCAAAGCTTTATAACTCAGCCTCTGTCCTCTTCTGCTCTGCAGTGAGACGTTTGACTGACAGACCCACCAGATCTGAACGTTTACAGTTAACAATATTCACCCCACTGTGGCAACTCAGTGACTTTCTTGCTACATTTAGCGACATTTCAGAGAAAAAAATATTGATATCAGTAAAAATCAGCAGGTCAGGCTTTTTAAATATCGGCACCAGGAATCGGCCAGAAAACTGCAATCGGTGCAGCCCTACACACACATTCATGACATTCTTTGATTAAATAAATTTCTCTTAAGCATAACTCCAATAGCTAAACATTTTATTTACACCAGGTGAGTCTTTCTTCCCTGGAATGTGGACCGGGACTGGTACCGGACTGATTCTGAGCTTCCAAATGATTTTAACAGAAGTTTCACATAATTTAGAAGTTGATGTAAAAATAATGTTTGTTTGGCCACAAAATGCTTCTGCTCAGCAGCAAACAACAAATCCTAGCTACAGCATAGAGCAGCTCATCCATGTAGCCTGACGTAGAAACATTTAGCTAGACGATGTCAAACATAGACAAGTTTTAATTATTGTTATCAAACTCGGCGTTTTGAAGCCAAAAATACCTCAGAAATATACAGAGTCAACCATGAGAATCAACTCATTTAAAGTTAAAACTCAGTTTCACACAAACACAAAGACCCTAGCTTAGTCTGGCTGTTGAACTGGACCGTTCAAGCTAATTTTCTATTAGCAGCTTTACTAATCTTTACACTACTTTACATTACCAAGGCACTTTAAAATGAAACTTTATCTTGGTTTTTTTCTATTCTTCCTCCTTCTTCTCTCCCTCCCTGAACGATAAATCCTTTTTGACACATTGTTTTGCTAACTAAACTTCTGACCGGAGCTTTGGACGTTTTGATGCTCAGTGCAGCTCATGATACCCGCAAAGCGTGCAGTACCTACCGCGGCCACCAGGGGGCCCCAGGAGGAATTTATTTTTTATCAATAAAATAATAATTTCTACATACATTATCAAATATATACTATTGTAAAAACAAATAACTTCATAGTGAAATTGTGTATTTTTGATATTATAATGACAGAAATTATTAAAAAAAAAAAAAAAAAAATCAGCTCCACTGAGGGGGCCCCTTGGTGGCCTTGGGGCCCGAAGTGGCTGCATAGTTTGCTTTTGCCTTGGACCGGCCCTGATCAGTGATTTGTTTGTTGCATTTAGGCAAAAACCCTCATATGACATATGCAGTCCAATCTACATGTTTTCATCTGTTTGATTTTATGCAACTTTTTTTCTATTTCTATGCATTTTACTATGTCTTTCCATACTGTTTATAAAACTTAGCAATTGTTGAAGCGCTTGACTTTGTGTTTAATTTGCGTCTTAATAAGGAATAACATAATGTCTTTTTGTAATATATGTAAAGGATGATTTACATATATTAAATGTAAATCATCTTCCTGGGTTTGGTGTAGAAACCCAGGAAGAATAATCTCTGTTATCATAGAGATTAATGGGGATCCTTAAATAAACAGTAAAGATTGTGGGATTTTTTTATAACACCGACCCTGCCAAAGTCCTTCAAGAACCAGAAACACGTTGCCTAAAGGAGTTGATGCTGTTTTAAACATAAACTCACATGAATAATTCGCTAAAAAAACATCAGTTTCTTAAAATAATCGTATTTTTATCCTTGTTAGCAGGTGAAGTTCTGATAAGAGGGTTAAACGTGGAACCGTTTGGTACTAATAATCTAACTGGATGATCTAAGGTCTCCGATGGGCTGCAGAGTCAAACCAGGCCTCCTCTGGGAACCAGGGACAGCAATGATGGCAGTTCCCTGGTGGGTAGAAATGGAAACAGCTGAACAATTCATTTCTTGATCATAAACCTTAAAATTAACTTCCTAACCGATTGTCAGCAGGTCAAACCTCGTCCACATCCCACTGTTAGGGAGAAGAAGAGGACAGCAGGAGAGCAGCGTTTCAAACAAGACCTGCTGCCTTACCGAAGAAAATATAAAACATGTTCTCCAACCAACAAACGAGAGACTGAATTAATGCCACTCAGGGGTGTTTCAGGTTCAGTGAGTGAGAGTGAAAACGTTCCACCAGGCTGTGAGTCTGAAACTCTGGGGAAAAAATATCTGGAAAACTCAGAGTGCAGAAATGACCCAGAGAACGAGGATTTTCTAAAACTGAAAGAGTGGGTGGAGAGTAGATTTCCTGTTTGTACCTTTGAGAAACCCCTGCAAATGATAGAGGAGAACTTTGAAATGATTCAGCGTTCCTTTACTGAATTCAGCAGCACAGGGACACAGCTGGTAAATCCCCGCCAATCTGTGTTTTACATGGAAATATGGGAAACCGGTTCCAATTTCATTTCTCACGGCACAGGATTTGTGCTGGGTGGCAACATTGTTCTAACCTGTTTCCACTTATTTAAACATTGGGAGAAAAGAAACTTAAACAGCTTATTGAAAAATCTGAATATTAATGTAGAGTTCAACTTTAATAATTTGGCTTATAAATCAAAGAAAACCTTTCAAGCTAAGTGGCTTCTTGGGATCCGTGATGTAGATGTCGCCCTATTGGAGCTCATCTATGAGAACAGATCCCTTACACAAGCAGAGCTGGAGGAAATACCTCCAGGTCTCCTGAAGATATTTGGACCGGTACCAGGTGGTGATGAAAGGGCTTGTATTGTTGGTTATCCAGCAGGAGGAGGAAGGAAGACAATAGATTTTACATTTATCATTAGAAAAGAGGACAGGGAGCAGGCTGTCACCTGTAATTTAATGTCCAAAAACAGTTATCTGGCTGTCTTCTCGTTTCTTGACCAGCTCCACAGGGACCCCAACAGAGATAATTATGTTACCTACAACACCTCCATGTATCAGGGCTCCTCTGGCTCCCCAGTGTTTGATATTTTTGGACGGGTGTTTGGTTTGCACATTGGTGGATTGTACATTGATAATCCAATTCCTAGTCACGGTGTTATGGGATGTGCCTTTTCTGTGCTCGAGATAGTCAAAAAGCTTCTGGGTGAGCTCCAGAGAAACGGCGAGGAGGATTTGTTGCAGAAAGTTTTGGTGGAAGCAGAGGGGAATCCATACCTTGAAGATTACCTGGAGAATCAGGGGAAAACAGATGAAACAGGAAAACAATCAGATTCTGAGGAGGAAATGGACACAAGTTAGGCGTTTACATTAGATTTCATAAGACAAATAGCACATCATGCAGCACTAGATCATTTTAACTCATGAAGCACTGATTACATTTAAACACAAACATCCAGGATCATGTTGAATTTCATACACCTTGTATAAAATTAAGATGGTTAATTCAGTCTGAATATTGTCCATTTGCTGGTTTGTGGATTCATGTATGAGAACTAAATTATTTATCATTTTTCAAATAAAATGTATGAAATGTTTTTCATTGCTCTGATGCTGGATTCTTACCTCTTTGAAGAAATGCTGTTTGATAACAACCCGGTGATGGATCTGAGCTCCAGACTAATGTTTGCTAATCCAGAGATTTCTTACCAAACAGAACCAAAACAAACATGCAGACTGGAAGGAGCTGGTGCTAAAAGCTTCATGTGTGTTCAGGTGTTGCAATACAAGCAAACAAGGTAACAGATGCAGCAGGTCACTTTCCTCTCAATGACACCAGGAAACAGTCCCACATATAAAACAGCTGCTCTGACTCTTATTGGTATGAGAAGTTAAGGTGTTTTTTTCTTTCATTTAATCTAAATTTCATATAAAATGTCCAGATAAGTGTAATAATACCCTCCAGTCATTCTTGACATTTTTTCAAATCCTGCAGAACAGAACAGAAAAACACCAGAACCTTTAAGAAACAGTTCAGATTTTTCGGTCCGACACTTTATCAAGTAATATATTTGACTCAACATCGCCATCAAGTGGACAAAGCTGCGCGCTGCAAGAAAAGAGTTAAACTGCAGGAGAGCGTAAAGTTATGTGATTATTAAAAAAACATAATTTATTATTACAACTGAAAGAAGAAAGTAAAAGGCCACAAGGTAAGTGACGTACAGCAAACATTAAAGTTCTGAGTTATGAAATTTATACTTTTATCTAGAAAGACCAGATTAATGTCTGAGAATGAGGCTGTATTGGTGCTGCTGCAAATTAAAATTATCCTGATAAATGATGTGTATAACAGGTACATTTTAATAACAATAAAAAATGAATAAAATATTTTTGTTGGAATAAACATTTAAAGCGTTGAAACAAAAAAACCATCATAAAGACCTTAAGACTTAAAGTTCCAATTCATGAACAAAGTGATGTTTTTTAGAAGTTGAAATAAATCAATGTAATGTGGTGACACTAGATGAAACTCAGATTTTGTGGAATTTTAGTTTTAATAAGATGCTCAACAACGGCACCCAGGGAGTGTGACCTTCTGTTTAAGGCACACAGGTTCAGTTCTGAGACAGTTTCAAATTTACAAAAGCTATTTATTAAATTCTTTTAAAATGTTCTTTTTAAAACCAGTTCTTTATGAATGAAACACAAAGGAAAACAAAGGAACTGGAGCAGCTGAGGTTACTGGCAGGAGGGGGCGCTGTGGGGACGGCATCCACCAAACAACACCTTTAACACCAGACTCAGTGAGACAACCCAAACTCAGGAATCACAGCATGCAGAAGAGGAAGACACCGTCACCACACCAACAGCGCCACCGGACCTCAGCAACTGCAAACAACAACAAAAACATATAACAACCTTAAGCCTAATAACAAAAGAAAAACAACATCAGCCCAGCTACATAAACAACTAAGAACAAAAAGCAAAAAGGGCTGTAAACAAAAAAAGTAAAGAAATAAAAACTAGTTAAAGAAAATGTAAGTTAAAAACATCAGGGCCAGGTGTGGCCCTCTTGCCACACCACAGCAGGAGGCGAAGTGGGCGGGCCGAAGCCACACATCGCTTTAAAATAGATACAATTTACTGTAGTGGTATAGACATACGTATCATTCTACACACATAGTTTCCAGGTGAGAAGTTCCGGTTGTTAAAGTGGTTTATAAGCAGGCTGCTGCGTTCAGCTTATGCATAATTTCTCACCTCAGGCTCTTTTAAAGGACAAGCTGCTGAGCCTTTAAGTGTTACAAGCAGTTAGACAGGTGTACCTAATAAAGTGGCCAGTGAATATATGTGTTAATGTCAATAGTCTTATGTGTTGTATTAATATTTTTATGCTTTTATCATTTGGACCTCAGGAATATTAATATTATAATATATAGCCAATAAATGAATAAAAATAATTAAACCAGAAACTTCAGTTCAGATAAAAACATTAAAACAATTTAGGGAAAAATCCCAAAGAAAAAAACATGTTTATTGTGAAACAGGAAGTTGAAAGCCATCAGAAAAAAACAAAATGACACAAAATATTAATATTGATTAATAATCAACAGAATTACATGATCATCACTTGATCTCAGCTTTTCTAAGAAATATTTAAACTTTACATGAAACGTTTTCCTCCATCATGGAGACGAAGGAGCTGAAAACAAAATAAAATCAGAGAACTGAAGAAAAATGAACCAATGACACATTTCAACTCTAAAAACGATTATCTGGAGCTACAATGAAGATTCATGATGATCAGTAGAGATCAGAACCGGGCTTCAGGTCCGGATCTCCAGGTCCGGATCTGGACTTTAGATCCGGTTCTGTTCCTCAGTTCATGGACAGGATGGGAGGCAGAGCTGAACAAAAACAGAATGAACACAAGGAAGGTTTGATATGAAGAAATAATCTAGACTCACACCAAAGGAGTGGGAAATGTAAACCAGATCTATGCAAACTAAGTCTATATGTAAACAAACCAGATTAAAGATCTAGGTATTCTAGATCCAGATTTATTCACATGTCAAAAGAAATCCAAAAATAAATGGATGAAATCTGGTTTTAATCTGCTCTAGGCTGGTTTTAACTGGTTTAAATTTGTGTCACATGTTTGTGAAGCTGGTTTAAACTGATTTAAACTGGTTTCAAACTGGTTTAAACTGGTTCTGACCTCCTGCTTTCTTCTTGTAGTAGATGAATCCAGTTAGAGACAAAACCAGACCCAGGATCAGTCCTAAAACTCCAAACGCAATTTTGATCTTCTCCGACTCAGGCATGGGTTTACCAGGGGGCGGAGCTTAACAGACAGGTGAGCAGACAGACAGGTGAGCAGACAGACACAGATTAAGTTAGAAAACATTAGTTGAACCAGGAAGATGCCAGATTTCAGTTTGCGTTCATCGTCTTATTTGAAATCAGTGACAGGTCATTCATGCTCTCACAGAGATTCATCAGTTCATTTGTGAAAACATGATTTCACATCATCACATTGAAACATTTCAGATTTATTTATTTCAAGCATGATGATAACATAACATCAACATGGCGACATGTCATTAGCTTTTAATAACACATTTTGGCATGTCAAAGTGGCCACGCCCCTTGAGGAGGCTCAAAAACGTTTTTTTAACTTTTGATCCGCCTTATGAGCAAACTCACCAAATGTCAATAGAAATCTCTAGTTTGATCAAATATGGACAAAATGGAGTCAAATTCACAACTTCCATCCAGGACGGAGGTTTGGTGAGTTTATAATTTGGCCTCAGAAAGCCGATTTATTTCTGCTGAAAGAATAATAAACATGAGAATTGAAAGTGTTGATTACCTAAATGGATCCGACTGCAGAGAAATGGACCTTAAACAGTTTGAGTGGAAGAAAATAAATCACTGCGGATTGAAAACTGAGTTTCTCCAAGGAGACGACTTCAAGCGCTTCAAGTTCTTTAAGAGTTTTATGTTTTATGTATTTCATACATTTCTTAGTTCAGTCCAGTTTACCAAATCACATCTCAGTTAGTGGAATAATTCATTAGAGTTTTTTGCGGATTAATTTAATTTCTTCATGTGGAATAGAAAAGAAAAGTACATTTATTTGTGATGTAGGAAATCTTGAGCCTCTGATTGAGCCTCTGCTGATTTGCTGTGATTGTTTTCTCATTGAAAGGTTTAATTGTAGAAAGTGTCAGATGTTGAACGGCGACGGAGTCATGCAGGTTTTTACTCCAGTCGATGGTCAGCGGCTCCTCTAAGCTCAGATGCTCCACCATGCAGGAGATCTTCTCTCCAGACCTGCAGGACATCAAGCAGCAGCTCTGAAACCCGTTTGGTTCTGTTGACACCGACCAGCATGAAACCCATTTGGTTCTGTTCACACTGACCAGCATCAGCGTCAGATTCTGAACATGAAGCGGCAGA